GATTAGTGTCGTTCTCTGATCTTATATCCATGCAGTCAAGTCTGTCTTGGCTGAACCATCCGTTGGTGTGATTAGTGTCGTTCTCTGATCTTATATCCATGCAGTCAAGTCTGTCTTGGCTGAACCATCCGTTGGTGTGATTAGTGTCGTTCTCTGATCTTATATCCATGCAGTCAAGTCTGTCTTGGCTGAACCATCCGTTGGTGTGATTAGTGTCGTTCTCTGATCTTATATCCATTCCAAAACGTCGGTTGTATTGACCATTTCTGACTTTTCCCTCCACATCTTGATGCTAATATTTATCTACCTCCATCCACTCAATACTCTTGATATATTCCAGTTTACATATCTTTTCTACATTTGTTTTGACCTCATTGACCCCGGAATTTATTGATTTCAGTCTTTGCATCATTTCTTCATCTCTCAAGTGTTTATAGAGTGGATGAGGTATTATTGTGGTCGATCTGAGTAGTTCTTGGTCGGCTAGAGTAAAAATCACAGATTGTCACAGGGTATTCTTTTAACTGGTACTCTTACATTTTGTACAAATCACAGATTGTCACAGGGTATTCTTTTAGCTGGTACTCTTACATTTTGTACAAATCACAGATTGTCACAGGGTATTCTTTTAACTGGTACTCTTACATTTTGTACCCTATGTAACTTGGGCATTAAAGTGGAATGATTTCTATTAGTTTTATTCTTACTGTTTCGCAAATTTTTTATTCCATAATAATTTTATTGTGGTTTTGAAAGAAATTGCATGAGTTAATTCGGGGAACCCACTTTGAGACTAATAATGCTTGGAAACGGCTTGAATGAGTTAATATATAATTTTTTCATATCGTAGGATAATATTCAAACATTCTAAAAAATAAATTCGTTATTGCCAGAACACTTATCTTTGTATGTACAAAAGGATAACAACATACAAGTAATATAAGCGTTTTGTTCATCATAGACATCCGTCATTCAAAAACAGACCGAATTTTATTGAATCAGTACTATTTTTGTTAAGCACAATGCTATACTATGGGCTGTCTGCACTGTGTCCATCACGGGGAATCGAAACCCAGATTTTAGTATTACAAGCCATTAAGTTTGCCGTTCAGCCAGTAGAGGACTCATTATTTTTGTTTGTTTGTTTGAAGTTAAGCACAAAGGTACACAATGGGCTATCTGTGCTCTGCCCACCACGGGTATCGAAACCCGGTTTCTAGCGTTGTAAGTCCGCAGACATACCGCTGTGCCACTGGGGGGCTAAGGAGGACTCATTATAACAGTATATGTATAAGCTACTAAATTATAGCTTGATTACATGAAATACGCTATGAAACATACTTAAAATTGCACATTTAAGAAAAAAAAAGGATAAAAATCATATCATATTTAGTTATTTTTCTTCTACTACATTTAATCGTGAACCCAATAATTCTTTAAAGACGATATAAGACTTAATTTTCTAGAGTCATTAAAATTAATTAATTAAATTTAAAACCTTTAGCTCAAGCTGCATAGTCTAAATGCGATTTTGTTTTACGACTAATTTTCTGTCAGCGAAGATAGATTTAAGTTATCTTGTTACACAAGGCCGGATTATCTTCGCATGTCCAATTGTTACTAAAAGTATTCTCAAAAGGCAGAAGATTAAATACATTTTTATTTTACATACATCTAAATTGGTTTAAAGCGTATTCAATTCATGACTAATAAACCTATTTGATTGATTTGACATTTATGCTTAATCTTTCCACATATATATGATTAAACAGTTATATATGTACATATACTGACAAAAACTTGCCAATTAACTAATCAAATATCATATGGTAGTAAATATTGTAACTACCAATATATCTATCTAGTAGCGGTAAGTATCTCATCATGGTAGTCGACACGATACGTATCTAGATACAGAAGTTGTTACCACGTTTGACAGTCTTGTCTGTAATTTATTATCTATATTACTAGCATTGTCTAATTTAAGTACTTCACACTTTACAGTGCTTTTTCAAATTCTCATGTATGATCAACTACATGGCAGCTGACAAGAGAAGTAAAATAAAACAAAGTTAATATCTATCTATTCTGTTATTGTTACGTTACTTTGTACGTAATGTTTTTGATAAAATAAATGAAGACAACATGTAGTACTCAATACTCATCTTCCTTTATTGAATCATTAATTTTTAGTAAAAATACTTTATTGGAAATTCTGATTTTTTCTGTATAAAAGATTTAGAATGTTTACTGAAAGCTTGTCAAATTTCGTAAAGATACACGAATCGTATCGTATTCGGACAGTATAACGATACGTATCGTATCGCCACACCTTTATTATCTACTATAATCAAAAAGCTTAGCTTTGGTTCAATAGACGATTGCTAAAGCCAATAAAATATATTGTGAAGCTAATACTTCTTATCTTAAAAATCATTATTAAACTTAAATAATTATCAAATAAACTGATTGAAGGTGAGTTAAGTATTTTATAACTTTCTATATACAATGCAGTCACAAGCTATGAATATTATATTTATACTTTGCTAATAAGATATAACTGTCATATATTTCAACTAGATATACCACATTTAACAAAACAGACGATCTTTTTTTAATATCATATGATGTGTTAAAACACTTTATTAACTAGCTCATATGTAAACAAACGTAATCATATACTGTGTAGAGATGATTTTTAACCATCCCTACTGCGCATTGTTAAATCCAGTTTAACAACAGAAGTGATAAGATAAGCACGGAGAAATAAAATACGTTGAGAAAGTTCGTTGCAAATTAAAATATATTTTCAATGTGTTTCAAAGTTGTGTTTGAACACACTGTTACTAAACTCTAAATTATTGGCGTATATTTGTTTCTCAAAATAGCACTTAATTATTTATGATACGGAACGAATCCTTAATAAATTCCATCATAATTTGTTTATATTCAAAACTCAAAAGTAAAGGAAATAATACTTTAAAACGCAAATTTTTTACTTCTTTGATATCTTATTGCATCCAAAATTTTTAAGCTATTTTGACATTTTGAGATGTGAAGCTACTGTAAACTCCTTATAACGTTCAAGAATTTATAGTATTATTTATTTTGGTATGTTTGAGTATAAAACAATATTTCTAGAAATATAATAGTTATAAAAACAGAATTTTTCTAGTAATGAGAAGTGGAACGCGGCCAATTAGGAATCCATATGTTTTTGAGTACGTGATTGACAAATATGAAAGTTATGTTTGATACCAGGATCGATCATTATAATATAAGATATCAGATAACAGAATATATGAAACGTATTGTAAAATTCCTAAAATCTGTCGACTTATATTATCATCTATATTTATTTTTTCACAAACAACCTGGAGGAATGTTAGAATGTGTGTATGTATATATACAAGTAGCAGATCCCACCAGACTCCACGTTGCTTATATTGGCATGAAAGTTGAACATTGACAACGTCATTTATGATAAAGAACATCGTATTCTTGCGTCAATGTTCCAGCATTTAGTGGTAAAAGAAACAAGATACTTGAGGCTTATACTGTAGTTGAATATCGACTTTCAACATAGAAAAAAAATAATAATAATAAATAGAGCACGAGTCATCCGTGCATTGGTAATTTCATTCTTGTTCTGTTCCTAATTGACAATCGTGACAGTGCTGTATGACACATGACTCTCAGTATCAGGAGTGAAATGTATCGTATGAAATATTGCGTACAAAGCAAGAAGAAAAACACATCTAATGTGGGCAGTAAATATGTTTCTTTCTGCAGAAAAACACATCTAATGTAGGCAGTAAATATGTTTCTTTCTGAAGAAAAACACATCTAATGTAGGCAGTAAATATGTTAGTTTCTTCAGAAAAACACATCTAATGTAGGCAGTAAATATGTTTCTTTCTGCCGAAAAACACATCTAATGTAGGCAGTAAATATGTTTCTTTCTGAAGAAAAACACATCTAATGTAGGCAGTAAATATGTTTCTTTCTGAAGAAAAACACATTTAATGTAGGCAGTAAATATGTTTCTTTCTGCAGATGTTTAAAGAGTTTTAGATTACGAAGTGCAACATATGCTGCTAATCGGTAATTTTATCTCGGTACAGTTGTTAGGACTACCAATCTTAACGAAGAAAAACAAAAAAATTACATCTGTATATACACGTATAAACATTCCCTTATATTCCCAAAAATGATATTGTAAGTATATAAAAAAACTCATATTCACATGAGAAGATTTTCAGTTATGGAGAATACAAGAAACTATTTTGGCTCTAATAAATTTGTTTTATTTTGTTTTTAATGACAAAAAGTACAAGGGGTGTTGAATTATGTAGGATGACAAAACCAAGATTTCAAGTTACATTACTATAAGTGTGTGCAGTTTATTTCACACACAAAATTTGGGCCAGATCCACGTTTGATGTTTATGGATAAACTTCTTTAAAGACGTGTTGAATCTGCTTCTTATTAAGCTGACGTTTTTATAATCACTGTATTTACGTCCTCACCTTAATTACTGACTTCCATTTAGTATAATAAAGAAGAGTAAGTTAATTCCTTAAATAACAAAGAGATACTGAGATTTTTTATACCAACATTTTAAACTTGTCATATCAACACTGACAAACTAAAGAAACAGGAAAACTAATATATATTTGTTATCCTGAATAAGAGTAGTCAACTATTCGAAAGCGCTCGAGTTTTGCGTCTTATTTTAAGTCTATTACACTTTATGTGTGATCCTTTGTGCTAACTCTTTTATCAAGATTGATATTCCACTCATGGACCCGATTTTACCAATGGTAAGATACCTCTTCTTTCACCTTACATTGCCATTTTTGGAGATTCTATTATTAAATACCTGTATCAACACCTTTCTTACGTTAAAGACCAGCATGTTTTAATTAAATCCATTAGTGGAGCCACTTCACTTGACCTTTTAGACTCTATATCTTTACTGCCACAGACTGTAAAATAACTAATTCTTCATATTGGAACTAACGACCTCAAACGGAACTCAACGACCACTTATAACTGTTTTAATGACCTACAAACCTTACTGTTACATATTTTGACTCTCCGAACTGACCTTCGCATATGTTTCTCAAGCATTATTTACCGTGACCTTAATAGACATACTGATGATCTATTTCTAAGACAAGTCTGTACTATTGACACTTTAAATAAAAAATTGACAAATTCAACGCTCTCGCACATAACCTATGTCGACGTAACCCACACTTGTCTTTCCTTTACAACACTAACTTGAAACATTTCTTAGTTTACACCTTTCTTTCCAAGGAATCGTTACCCTATCCTGTAATTTCCGCTTCTTTATTACCAACTTTATTCTTCCTTGCCTACAAACTAATACTGAATACTCCAGCGTAAACAACCAAACACCCCTAGTCCTAAATCTCCTTCAACCTCTTCTATTCCCCATACCCCTATCTCATTAAAAAACCCTCAACCCGAAGAGCATACCACACCTCTACTACACTTCCAAACTCTGTTTCTCCTGGAACTGTCCCAAACTCTAATTGTGTCCCTTTGCCTAAATGTCTAACCTATGTTGAAGTTACGACTTCCACTCTTATTCCTAATAATCTTCTAGTAATCCCTGAGCCTGATGACCTTCCAAACTTCACAATCTCTGAAACGTTTCTCCTGGAACTGTCCCAAACTCTAATTGTGTCCCTTCGCCTAAATGTCTAACCTATGTTGAAGTTACGACTTCCACTCTTATTCCTAATAACCTTCTAGTAATCCCTGAGCCTGATGACCTTCCAAACTTTACAATGTCTGAAACGTTTCTCCTGGAACTGTCCCAAACTCTAATTGTATCTCTTTGCCTAAATGTCTAACCTATGTTGAAGTTACGACTTCCACTCTTATTCCTAATAACATTCTAGTAATCCCTGAGCCTGATGACCTTCCAAACTTCACAATCTCTGAAAACTTTCTCCTCCCAAAAGCCGAATCTTCTGTACACCTTAAAAACAACCTTCCTTCTGGTATCCTTTATATTCCTAGCAATCCTCCACTAAGTTCCAAACCTGATGACTTTGAACCTTCACGTCCCATAGAAACATCTTCTACTCTCCTCAAACTAAACCTTCCCTCTATTACAACTTCCCAATCGTATTCTAATCTCAACCCTACCAAAACTTTCAAACAACTTAGAAAACGGAACGAAAAGAGACTGAGATATATTAACCATACTGGCGTTTTAGAACAGCATTTACAGTGTCAAACTATGCCTAAATCACTTACTCTGAATCCACCAGTTACCATAGGGGCCAATGACAAACTATACCTAAATCACTTAATCTGAATCCACCAATTACCATAGGGTCAATGGCAAACTATTTTGTTTACAATGGAAGAAAATCCTCCATTCCACCTCAGTTGCACTTATGAAGCTCACACAAGACTTCTACAAATCCACAGTAGCCGATCTTGATAAGAACATTTCCATTATAAATTCTGAGAAAACAATTTCTGCTATTGACCAAAATAAACTTGATGTTTTTAATAACAAGACAAAAAGTATTTCGAAAATCACGCGATAAACAACAACGAACAAACACATCATGATCTTCCACATAAAAGTAAAGAATTAACTCACCAAAATTCCCTAGAGTATATGTCTTAATTACCGTTAATTAAGGATGACCCAGTTCTCTAGGGTGTACTATTCTTCTTTTGTAGTTGTGAAGTTGTAAAGTTGTTCGTTATTTTTTCGCGAACGTTTCCTACAGCTTAGGAGCTAAATAAATCAAATCAAACACTTTACAGGCGAACTAGGGGTGAGCCGAAACTGAGGGTTAAAACAGGCATGATGGGGTCTAGGAGTGAGTTTGTAAGATTTCTGAACATCATTGTGGAATTAATGTTGTGTTCCTGAACCACCTCGGGATCCCTGGGCAACATGCTCGAAACTGTTCTACCTCTTTTCACAAGCTACTCAGGTGCCACGGACGGATGTCCTAACAGGGTTTATTTTCTGCTACAGACCACTCTTGTGGTACCGCGGACGGATGACCTAACGGGGTTTATTTTCTGCTACAACCCCTACTTGTAGTACCTATAGAAGTTAAATATGGGAGGAACTGATCCGTGTACTGTGGTCTCTTTTATTCATGAGTGTGGTTTTGAACCTCTCGATGGAGCTTGTATATTTTATGATAGTACACAACATATTCAAACTTAAAGTTGCAGTATGTAAATATTGAATATAATGATGATTCTTGTGAAATATACATCATCGCAATTTATCAAGAAGTGGTGAAGAAATTATAATATATATGTATTTACTAAAGTCGTAAAAACTGTTCGAGTTTATCATAAATAACTAATAATGGCTGGAAACGGCTTGAATAGGTAATGAAGAAAAACTTTAATATAATAGCAAATGTACAACGTTTCGACAAAACCTTGTCGAAACGTTGTACATTTGCTA